AAATTTTGCTGAAAACATATTGAAGTAAAGAGGCCAGCCAGGGAGTTCCAGCTTCGTTGATTAATCCACGCAACAATGCTGATATATTTTTATAAAATGTTTGGCCAAAATGTTGGTTTTCTCACTTGCTACTAGTCTCCTTTGCAGCCGTTTTTGGGGATGTCACACAACGCTCCCTCCAAAAACAGCTGTGAAGTAAAGATATTCATTGCTCAATTTTAATATAAATTATGGTGGATTGTCTGAAATAATGTTCCTTTCTTCGGAAGTGATTCTTTTTCAGCATGCTTTGTGGACCGGTGCCTGTGATATCCACCTTCGGTCTTGTATTTTTTCCCCCAGTCACGCACAATTTTTCGCTCTTTGACCTTTGCCAGCTTTCATGATCAGTTCCCTCTAGTGGCCGATCGAGAGGAGGGGCCCGTGAGGGAACCCTCCTTATGGGCGAAAATTTTGAGGGCTTGAAAGGCTGAAATTTTTTAACAGCCTCATCTTAATTTAAGGCCTGAAGGGCAGGAAAGAAGTCTGGATCCCCCACTACCACCTCGTAACTGTGCATCAAATCCGTACTCACCTTTCTAGTAATGGCCTTATAAAACATATTGACAAATTCATAATTTTTAAGTTTCGATTTTCCTAGTGGCAACAAGAAATGGGATTCTGTCCAGTAGTGGTTGGTGTAGGTGATCCGGGAACGGGGAAAACCAAGGCGGGACACATAGCACTGGCTACGGTTGGTGCCTATCCAAACATGTTTTTTAACATGTTTACAGACGTGCACAACGGAGAGGTGGCAGCCCAGACCACCATGGGTTTCCAGGCAGATGACCCGACCGACCCCAGCGAGTTGGGGAAAGCTGTAAAAGGTTTTTCTCTGATGGCACAAATGCCACTATGAGAAAGGAATACACTCCAAAATGCACACCCCTTTGCACTGTTAACGAGCATGTCATCGAGTGGCTGTCAAAGCCAGACTGAAGGAGGTGAGTTCTGTTTTAGATCGTAAAAAAATGGAAACGGAAACTATTGCTGTTATCATTCCCGGTGTACTGTATTTTCTCAATTTAACACCCCCTGCATTTATTTAGAACTTGGCCTTGAAGACCCAGGGTTTAGCTGGCGCTCAGCGTTCATTTTAGCTTGGGGCCTGGTGTTAACTGATCGAGAATATACGTTCACATGAAGGTATTAGGCGGTCTTGAGTCGTCCGGCTCTCCAAGGCTACAGTAGACTTTTTTTTAAAAAAAGATAATTTGCATTGATAACAAAGGAGGACTCCCAAATCAAATAGATGTGAATACTTTGCTCCTCTCACAGGGGTTAAGAATAGAAACCTTTGCTCTAAATGCCTCTTTTTTCCCCTCCAGAATTCTCTTTTTGGTACTTTGGTTATGCTATTTTTGGTATCTTGAGGTAACTCGTTTTGCTGGTATATTTTTGTCTTTTGTCTGACTGTTTCATAAAAAGAAACAATTTTCCTTTCACACAGGCTCTTGGTCAGGTTATTGTTGATCAAAGTAAATGCTAGGGGGCAAGAATTAGCAGCCGATGAAGCAACGGTATGAAATAAGTGGTACAGTCGGCTGCTGCAAAAGTTGCCCACAACAGTCGGAGAAATTATTCACGTCGGGCAGTGGCTTCACTCAATTCAAGGCAGAGAATTTCTGGCCGACTGTACACAATTAGCCAGATCCGAATTTGGAGAAAGTGCTTCAGTTCACCGGGTCTGTCAAAGCTGGGGTTGTGCAATCTTTGCGCGAGAAAGGTATTTGGAAACAAATAATAGAGAGTGAGTAAGTTAAACATGAACATGTAGAGTACACTTGTAAACATTAGTAAACACTTGATAAACATTAGTTTAAACACTCGTTCAGCAAAGAAGCCAAATGGTTTTATCTGAGTCTTATTGCAAAAACATTTCTGTCCACTTTTTAAGATGGGGGAGATAACCTCGGCTGTCAGTGGTGATGAGATAATTACACATTTCAGAGAGGTTTTGGTGCCTTATGTCACCGAAACACAGCTGTCCTCCGTTGCTAATAGCATGTCCCCAAATGTAGCTGGTTGTAGTGTCCAATCAAGAAATAGAGGGAACTGCATACTTGCACCACAGACTTCATTAAAGCTTACACGAGAGATCTTCAAAATGGTTTACGAAACGTTACAAAAGAAAAGGTATGGCTATTAATGTATGTTTAAAAAGATTGAAAGAAAGTGAGTTTCCGGTGCTTACCAATGTCATTGACGATCTGGCAATCGCAGTGAATCAAGTTCAAAGAATCAAACAGGAAGATTAGGAGACCAAAAAAACTTCGGCGATTTCCCTGGGCAGGGGATAAAATTTGAAATGTTGAGTGTCAAGCAATCGTGATGGTGGTGTCAACTCCAACGGGTAAGACAAAGACCGAAGAGGTCTGCCTTATGATATGATGGTCATGTAGTGAGACTTAAATCGTTTAGTGAAAAATTGTTTGTGTTGTATCGATAAGTTTAGACGTTATGTAGGAAAAAAAAGCGGTCGATACAGTGCATTAGATCATCCTGGTTCTTCCTGGATCAAGTTGTAATATGCCCATTTCGTGTAACGCAGATCTCAGAAGTGGTCATGGTTTGCAAGACTGAGATAGAGGACCGGGAAGAGGAAGTTGTCGCCATCCGTCTTGATAAATTTGAAAAAAATATGTACCCAAAGAGGAATTAGACATATTCCTGAAAAGGTGGTACATGATAGCATCGAAATATTTGACCTTGGTAAGTACTGAATGGAAATGAACTGTCCCAGTACTAGAATAAAGAACATCACAGACATCATGTGATCTCATCATTTAAGGCGGTGTATCAATATGTGTAATATACAGAAATTAGGTGTCTTATTCGGAACTGTATATTAGTGACAAATAACAATATGGACGAAAACATGTTGTAAAAAACCTTAATCTGCTCCCTCGAAGGGAAACAAAGTGGACAACAAAAGTTCTTCTCACCCTCAAAGGGGAAGTACATCTCCAAAGGCTGCGTAATGATCAAGAGGGCATTATTTCCAGAAGACATCATCCCAAGAGATGAATCCATTCCTCCTACTGGTGAGTCTTTAAATGAATTTGCATTATATTCACCAGTGTTACCCCGAGGAAAGTATATTGCAAATAATATGGTTTATAAAATCCTTTACAACCAGTATTTAGTTATTAATAGAGAAGTCTAGTCACCATGAGGAATGATAAAAATGCTAAAATGCACAATTTAGCCGTTGATAAATAACTGAGTCTGCGTGTATCATTAGAGTTAGAGTTATGGTAACACACAGAAAACATATTCTGCAATAACTTTATGGTAACATATAGTAATACTTACAATGCTCAAGGTGATGAGGTAAACCTAAATTTCCTGAAATGAAATTGTAATGGCTACACAGAAAGTGGCTGCCAGCAGAACGTAAATTACAAAGAAAACGAAGAGGGCAAACAAGGTTTGCTATTACAGATGACCAAATGTTCAATAGGAGAAACAATAAAATGAAAAATTAACAAGCTACTAAATAGGTGAATTAAAATTTTTGAACAGAGCCTGTAAACTGTAAGGATAACATTATCACATTATGTGGAACACTTCTGTGCATCCTTTGAAATATTTTAGAAATAGTCATTTGATTTTGACCCACATTAGACAAGTCTGTGAGGGAGAAAATTAATATGCTTAATCGCGAGAGAAGATACCTTTTTATGTGCGGAAAAGGGTTTTACTTGACATTGATGCCATGATTTTGATGGTGTGAAGTGATCTCAATTTTATTCTGTCTATATTGTTGTTTTTAATGACAATGCCTCTCATATAAAGTGACAAGCCGAGAAAGCAGGGAAAGAGAGATTTTGAAGGTGCAGCAAGAAATAGATCGACTCTTGCAAAAGAAGAATGACCTTCTAAGGAAACTGGAAAATAGCAGCAACAAGCCAGAAGGTAACGTAAACTACTGGGATATATTATGGAGGATAGCAGCTGTAAACATTATGCCATTGTATGCAATGTGTGAATAACTTGTAAAAATTAAATGCCTCTCATATGAAGTGACAAGCCGAGAAAGCAGTGAAAGAGAGATTTTGAAGGTGCAGCAAGAAATAGATCGACTCATGCAAAAGAAGAATGACCTTCTAAGGAAACTGGGAAATAGCAGCAACAAGCCAGAAGGTAACGCACACAGAAAATCTCTCCTAAAACTACAAATATTTCGAACACAAAATGTTAACTTAACAGCGAACAACAAAGAAAACAGCTACAAAGAGAAACTACTGGGATATATTATGGAGGATAGCAACCGTAAACATTATGCCATTGTATGTAATGTGTGAATAACTTGTAAAAATTAAAACTAATCCCAACCAGCTAAGTGGCAAAATTCAGACTTACGATGAAACACATAGAAACTAATAAATGTAAATCATTAATAATTTACTGTCTTACAACAGAGGAATTGTCCGAGTCAGTGCAGGGAGGGGCTGTTACCCGGGATGAAGATGACAATGGTAAGTACAATTTCAACACTGACTTAAAACATCAAAATCATTCCCTTCGCGCTAAAGGACTGTTTGGCTAGAAAAGTGTGAAAATTTCAGCTTTCGCCATACAAAGGTTTGTTATGTTATACTTTTTATTATCGATAACGGCATCGCCGGTCAACACAGTAAGACGAATCGAGCAATAATTCTGTATTTACCTTTTGCATGTCTGCTTCAGCGAAGATCATTCGATGAAATGTGCCAATGTGCAGAAAAGGTTTTACTTTACTAAAAGTGGTTGAACTGATTACACTTTTGCATTCAAGATTCAGTCATGAATGACTCTCCTGGAGGAAGCAGAGTAAGGCAAGCAGAAAGGGAAATCTTGACGAAATCAAGTAAGTAATAAAAATTTCAAAAATATTTAGAATGGCAAATGAAAGGAAATGCATGTTAACATAACTCACTGGGGAATACTTCATGAATGTAATAATCTACTTACAACAGGTGAATCATCCAAGTCAGTGGAGGAAGAGGCTGTTGACCAGGATGAAGATGAAAATGGTAAGTGCACGTTCAACAACTCAAACCTTAACTGACGAGCAAAATCATTCCCGTCGCCCTTAAGGTCTGTTTTGCTAGATAAGTGTAAAAATTTCGGCTTTCGCATACAGAAAGGTTTGCTTTGTTATACTTTTATTATCGATAACAGCATTGTCAACGCAGTGAGACAACTCGAGCAATAATTTTGTCTTTACCTTTTGGGAGCAAAGATCATTCGATTAAATGTGCCAATGTGCAAAAAAGTTTGACTTTACCAAAAGTGGTTGAACTGATTACACTTTTGTCTTCAAGACTCAGTCATGAATGGCTCTCCTGGAGGAAGAAGAGTAAGGCGAGCACTGGAAAGGGAAATCTTGAAGAAATCAGGTAAGCAATAAAAATTTCAAAGATATTTAGAATGGCAAATGAAAGGGAATGCGTGTTAACATAACCCGCTGTGGAATACATGTGCTTCATGAATGTAAATAATTTACTTGCAACAGGTGAATCATCCAAGTCAGTGGAGGGAGATGCTGTTGACCAGGATGAAGATGAATGGTAAGTGCACGTTCAAAAAGAAAATAACCAAATGACATCTAGAAAGATTCTTTATAAGAAGCAAGTAAAACAATAACAGCATGTGGCACAATGTTTTGTTTCGAGGCGATGCCACAACAAACGATAGTAAGTGCTTCTCAAGATGGAGGGGGAAATGTGGCTATAACAAAAAGTCTTAACTGTTGCAAGCACACTGGTCGTAACCAAATTTTTGATTAATATTGTTACATTTCTTCCTTAAAGCCTCAATCACGAATGATTCCCCTGGAGGAGGTAGACAAGGGGAAGCAGACGGAAATCTCAAGGAAAAAATTGAGTGAGTTGAGTTAAAAATATTTAACTGAAAATGACATTGATAAAGATTGTATCTACCAAAAGCCGCTGCTCAAAAATTATTTAATATTTTTACCACCAATTGAAGAAGAGTCCCAAGCCAGAATATTTGGACAATTTACATGTTTCCTTCTACTCCAACATTGTAAGTGGGGGAAGGAGGTATTTTAAAGGTGCCCACACAAAGTGTCCCGATTACTTATATACGCGATTGTAGTTTTAAAACTGATTAACAAAGCAAACAGCCGACAATTATCATACAAAATGGCACGGAATAACGCCTGATACTTAGCTGACGAGGTGATATTCCGAAAGATTGAGCAGGATAATTGTTTCCATATTCAACAAAATAATTGTCAATGAAGCTCATTTTTCTTTGCCCATGTGGCGTTTTAAAAGATTTCGGATGAATCCTCGTAACTGAAGTATATCGCATAGCAGCATCTGTTACGGATAAATGGGGCTTCATAGCCATATATGGAAAATGTTACAATTTGTTAAATAGTGAACATTGATTTCTGCAAGATTATTAGGTGGTAGAGACGTTCATCTTAAAAGGCATTGCTGTCTTTCCCTTCTGCCCCGCTAAGAAGCCCTAAAGGAACTTTTAACATTTCAAAAAGAGGGAACAGTTACGATAATTTTGACAAAAATAAATTAATAATTAAAGTAACAAACAAATACATAAATAAATAAGTAAATAAATAAGTAAATAAATAATTAAATTCACACTGGTTGTGAGCTAAATTTTTTATAGATTTAGTTTTTTTTTCTTGAAGGTACAAACGTGGATGATTCAACAAACGGAAAAAAGAAGAAAAGAAAGCAGTCGAGATCACGTAAGCAAAAAAATAAAAATACCCATTACCCTGGAGATGTAATAACTTGCTTGCAACAACAGTCACCAGAATTCATTACTGAGGCCTAATGAGATGATAGTACGCACTTAGACTGTAACAGGAGTGATCTCTAGATCTCGGGCAAACGAAATACAAATACTTAATGAAATGGCATTTCTACTAAAAAGGTAAAAGATGTTTATTTCTGCTCATGTCCGCTGGAAAATCCCGGTCTAGATAAGCGGCTGAAACATGAGGAGCTAACTCTATCTGTTTAGCTACTTTTATGTTTTAACGTTAGTTTTCCGTAGGTTTTCGTGTTGTTGCTGTAATTACCTGCGATTAAGCACTTTAGTTAGCTTTTCTTTGGTACACTGTTTGTGTGCACATTATTCGATTGCTTGTACTTAGTACTATTGTAATTTAAAATTCTAACGGCAATGTATTAGTGTAAGT